CTTCGGATCAAACGTCACCCCCAAGACTCAACAGCCGGCAAGACTCCAAGAGCTTTATTGTGGATGACTCTGGATCTAAAGAGGAGAGAGAGCAAGGCTATCTGCGCTCTTTGCAGCGTGACTGTCATAGCCTAGGATTTCGACGGCTCAAACGCTACACGCCATTCCTTGCCCCAGTCTGACAGACGATTGACGGTGTCCTGAAGCAAGGCAGCAGCAGTGGGGAGGTCGTTACGGAGAAGAGTGTACAATGTCGTATCGTCAGCATAGACTTCCAGCTGCGTGTTCCCAGCAAGGCATGTTGATACGTCGTTAATGTAGACGAGGAACATGGTTGGCCCCAGAATGCTGCCTTGTGGGACTCCCGCCTCGATGGGGTATGGACGGGAGGTCGCACCACCGACAACACACTGTATGCTTCGGTTAAACAGGTACGATGTCAGCCATGCAAGGAGGATTCCTTGGATGCCACATTGCTGTAGCTTGAAGAGGACACCTGTGTGAGAGACCTTGTCGAAAGCTCAAGCAATGTCAAGTGCAAGTACGCGTGCTGCGCCCCTACGTCCGATAGAGGATGCCCAGGAGTGGTGTAGTGCAGTAAGAGCGTCGGCTGTACCCAGATTCCATCTGAAGCCAAACTGATTCGCTGCAAGCAGTGAGGTATCCTCGAGGTACATGTAGTTCGTAATTTGCATGTTTTTTTATTTATTTATTTTTATTGAAAAACCACAAACCTTCAGACATGTGAATGTGCACATGATATACAGTGTACATACGTATGTATCGAGAAGGCAGCACGGAAACGGCAGTGGTGGTGAGGCCTGGGCAGCTCGTCCGACCGTGGGTCTCGGAGTCAACACTGGGCAGACGCACCGGGGGGGGGGGGGGGGGGGTAGCTTAGGAGATAAGGGATGAAGCCAGCATGATCATAGTATGTAATGCATATGCAGAAGTAATAATGATGTTAATCTTAAAAACAATAGTGCGGTGGACCTGCGCAGAGGAAAGGCATCATGGACATGATCTACGTGTATAACATAATAATAATATAATAATTAAAAGTGAGCTAGGGCACATCATACACACACATATGCGCATGTTCAAATAGGAGATCAACCTGATAGGGCGTTCACCGGCCTTGGGTAATCTTGAAATAAAGATATTAATTTTATTGAAGATGTTGATAATGGTCTCCATTAGCTTGGATATCACATTAAGGAGAGACACGGGGCGGTAGTTCTTGAGCTGTAAGCGAGATGAGCGTTTATGCACAGGAACAACATTGGCGAGCTTCCAGGCCTGAGGTTGGTATCCATGCCGGAAGCACAACGAGAAAAGCTTGGTCAGGACCGGAGCAAGTACCGAAGCGCATTCTTTCAGGACATGGGGGGGGGAGAGATGCGGTCCGGCCCCGTGGCTTTCGACTCGTCGAGACGGCGCAGGAGGCGGTGAACATTCTAGCCATGGTTGGCTATAAAAACCCTGCAATCGCCACGCAAAGTGGTCATTGGCTACCCCAGCCATGTATTGCTTGGAATAAAATAAATAAATAAATTCTGGATGCGGAAGTGGACGTGGGGCAGTGGTGGATGTGGGTGAGCAGGCGCTGGGGTTCCAAGGGAGGCGCGATGTCACCTAGGCTGCACTTGCCGGCAAAGAAGTGATCAAAGCAGTCAGCCTTCTCCTTGCTGGTGATGTGCTCCTTCCCGGCATTGTCGAGGAGGAGGGGGATGTCAGAGTTCCGGCCAAGACCGCATGCTCCTTTCAGGTTGCACCACCATGCGTTGTCGCGAAGTGAGCCGCAGGTGAGTCGGGCCCGAAGGTGCCGTTCCTTCTCTTGCCTGGAGTGTTGAAGTGTGGCGGTAGCGCGGGTAACAGAGTCGATGAAGGATTGCTTCTTGACGTCATTGCCAAGATCGTGCCGCCATTTCCTTCATTCTCTGTCCTTGATACGCATCCCTTGTGTGCACTCAGGGGTCCACCACTTGGGATCAGATGAGTGGATTACGAGAGTCTTATGGGGAATGAACTGTTCCATGCCTGCAGTGATGGTATTGGTGACTAGTAAGCAAGACAACTCTGGATCGTCCGTGATGATGGAGGCCCAAGGGACGGCCTTGAGGTGTGCTCTGAGTCGCTCCCAGTCAGCACGTTCGTAACGCCACACAGTACGCGACCGCGTGGTGGGCTCTCCCCGGCATGGTGAAATGGTCGGGAATTGAGCTATCACAGTTCCATGATCTGAGCGTCCTAAAGAGTAAAGGGGCAAGTACAGTGGTGCTGATGGGTTGTTGGAAAGTGGACATGATGAGGTCTAGTGTGTTGGCACCTCGAGTGGGCTCCCGAACATGCTGCGTGAGCTCGTGAGTGATACAAAGACCCTCGAGGGCATCCCCGGCAGGGGTTTCATGAGCTCTAGTCTTGATTTTGGTTTTTTTCTTCACACCAGGGAGTAGTAAAGCCTCTTGTACGGGCAAAACCTTGGTACTACCGTACTGGCAATATATGTTGCCGCAGTGAGGCCATGAAGCGTTACATTGGCACATGTTTGCCGCACGCAGGGCGTTACATGCAACGTCGCACAGGAGCCGTTACACAGGTTTCTATATTGCCGCAGTCCTTTTTTTGCTATTGCCGCATCACTTTTTTTGCTATTGCCGCATCATTTTGGCGGTGCCGACGAACACGCTTTCTCGTTTGCTCACGAACTTTCTTCTGCTTCACTAAAACTTTCTTTGCACGATCAGCAGCAATCCTGTTTTTCGTCTCCTTTCTCTCCTCATCCTTTCCTTTTTCACTTTCCTTGGGCGTGATTTTCTTCACGCCGAAGGCGAATAGAGACTTCTGCATTGTCACAAGGAAACTGGTAAACACATCGCTCTTCTTCGCAAAACGACGTCGGGAAAGAAGAAACCATTGAGATCGCCAACCACTGAATGATGCGCCTTCGAGTGTCAGGACTTCCTGCTGCGTCCAGTTTTGAACTTTTCACCACGCGGTACACGTGCTTTCACAGTTTTCAGCCTTTTTTTGCAGTGCAAACTGCAATGAAAAGATCGCCGCACCCCGCCGGACGCGCGTTACGAAGTCAACGAAAATTTGTCGCACAAGCCTGGTCGCGCGTTACGCCGCACCCCCTGCGTTACGCGTTACGCGGCAACCAGTACGGTAGTACATGTAGTTGGTACTTCTAAGACAGTAAGAGTACTAGTACTACGACTAGATCTACGTCTAGTAGCTAGTAAGCACACCATGCATAGCGTGCACGAGCGGTAACAGTGACTGGAGTATTGACTTGAAGTTGAACTAACTTGCTGCTGTTTACCTACAAGTAGGTATATACATTATTATTATTATTATGCTGTTTTGTTTTTTTGCGTGCTTTTTCTTTCTAGAACTTTGACTTGAAGTTTTTGGAACACTTGGTACTTGGGAAAAAAAATTCATTGTGTTTATTTTGCCCGTAAAAGAGGCTGAAGTAAGCAAACCATGTACCGGTATGTACATCATCTACATGTACTCTGGTTGCTTGCTGCAGGGCCGACTACGCGACTACGGCACTGAAACACCGGTTTTCGACTTTAGTGCTGTATTCCCTGGTATTTGCTATGCCGTCTACTAGTGTAAGGATCACACAGTGCACACACATTGAAATGTTAGTATTAACTTAAAACAAAAACAGGCTCCTAGATCCTGTGACCTCAGTGCAGTCCTGTCTGCTGCATTTTCGAACATAAACACGGATTACCGCTCTGCACTGTAGTACGGGTACTGTAGTCTGTAGTGCAGATCTACATTGTTCAGCACATCATCACTAGAATGTAAGTACAGTCGACCTACCCTTATAACGATATTTGCGTCAGACCAAGAAATATTGTTATAAATATAAGGGTAATATTGTTATAGGGGTAACTGGTTCATTTCATACACATACGTCATAATGCGTGGATTTTGTTCATTTTTACACTCTTCATAGCATAAAAAACTGATATACGTCATTTTACATGCACATTATGTACACAGCAAGGTGCCCACTGGTGCCCCTGTTGCATTTCGTCGTGTCCCAGCGACTTATCAAGTGAAGCTTGCCTTACCTGGATAGTGGGCTCTACATATTCCCTGCTAGATACATGTATTGTTAATGGAAAATGTCGATTGGTCAGCCCATTTTATATTGTTATAGGGGTAATATCGTTATAGCAATATTGTTATAGAGGTAAGGCATTGTATACACAAGTCAATGGAGTGATTTGGTTTGGCAGAAAAATATCGTTATAAGGGTAGGTCGACTGTACATGTACATGACTGTACAGTGCTGGCAACTGAAACCCGACCCCTTTGCCGGCGCGCCGCGCCAGCAAGGGGGTCGGATTTCAGTTGCCAGCACTGTACTGACCTGTACTACTAGTAACTACATGTAAGTGTTGGAGCTGTCGCGACCGACCCTGATCATATTCTTAGTACTAGGGAGTCGTCAAATGTACTCAAGTGCGATATTTTTTACGCCCAAGAGCAGTAACCACGACTATGTCAACGTGACCTGGTTAGTAAAGCCGCATGATACCTGCTGACTATGGGTCTACAGAATGCAGGAATGCAGACCGCAATATTGATGTCACACACACACACACACACACACACACACACACACACACACACACACACACACACACACACACACACACACACACACACACACACACACACACTCACACTCACACTCACACACTCACACACACACACATACACACATACACACACACTGAAACATGCACACATACACACTCCCACGAGCGTGCACACACACACACACACTCCCTCACACACACACACACACACACACACACACACACACACACACACACACACACACACACACACATACACACATACACACACACACTGAAACATGCACACGTACACACTCCCACGAGCGTGCACACACACACACACACATACTCTCACGAACACATAATGACATATGCACACACGCACACATATTGCGATTGTAGATGGCATTTCACACAGGCAAGGTGAGCAACATACGGCAGACGAGTGCAGTGTGCGAGAACAAGCCGGCCTCACACATACAGATCGAGATTGCATAGTATTGCGGCATGCAAAGCAACAGGCACATTGTGCTCGTCATACAACGAGGGCACAAGAAAGACACGGGAGCTGAAGTCTGCAATGAAAATTAAACGAACCGCAGGGGGGAGATTACAAGAGAGATCAGTTCGAGCGGAGAGCGCATCTGCGAAGTGGACGAAGCATAAGGCGTAAGCAGCAGTTACGACATACCCATTGGATGGTTAGCACTACAAGCAGCAGATTCTAAAATATCCGGGGGGGGGGGGGGGCTGTTACGGTCATCTGTGCAATATGCATACAACTAACACTACAAACATACTGGATCAAGATTGCCCGTCATGTGTCAGACACGGTGCATTAGCCACTGACCGAAGAGATACACACATGCTTCCAGTGGACGATCCCGTTACTGCTTGGCCCGCGCAAGGCGGAACACACTACATCAGGTGTCTTTAGCAGCGGCATGCTTAACAAGCAGTGAGTGCGGTTGCATTACCGTGTCGTATTATTATTATGTGCGGTTGACATGGCCGTAGCGCACCTTGGTGGGGGAGCCGGCAAGGAAGGTAGCCACCACAAGGAAGATGAGACCGGAGGCGCCGTACAGGAATACCGCTGCCCAGCCAAGCCGGAACGAATATCCCCAGTACTGCTCGTCAAAGCTAGCCATGTCACGTATCTCTTTGGTGTACACACCCATTGCGATGAGCTGGAAGAGCGCTGCAAGCCAGATCAGAGGAACACATACACGTGGATACAGCAACGAATATACTTTGTAGTGGCTGTTGCCTGATGATCGTGGCTTGAATTTAACTTTAACTCTTTGGTCCCTGCCTGAGCGTGCACTACGCAGCGTACCATATGCGCACATCGCGTACATCCAAACTTTAATTGTTTTCAACTTCAACCCACTGCCTTCTCTACGCCTATCGATAGGCCAGCTACTAAGGGATCTCTGTGAACAAAATCAGGCAGCTGAGATGTACGAGATCAGCTCTGCAATAGTTTTAGTATGCACTGTCAGCCTAGGTCGAAATTAACCTACCGGCGCCAAAGGGTTAATGTGAAACTCTCGGTCGCAACACAGCCCCCCCCCTCCCTCTCTCTCTTTGTTTCTTTGCATCGATTGACCGATTGAGTCATGCCCCAGGACAAAGTTTGACAGGATAGCTTCCAACAACGAACAAGTTTCAGAAAGTGATTATCGCTAGTGCGAGCTTCAGCTCTGCAAACAAATACTGTCAAATTGGTTGGACGTCGAGCACCCAGGTCCACTCTGCAACTAAAATGATACCCAGTGGCAGTGGTGCATGCTAGTATATCTGATGCACTTCTAATACTAGGCTATGGGTGCACCTGCATTGTATCCGATCCACACACCTCCTGCAGCCATCTCCGCTGGCGACAAGGGGCGAATCTCACACTCGCATCCTCTCTAGGGATTTTACAAACTTGAATTAAACCTGGCATATCTGAGACGGCTTCCGGACACCCAGAATTTCCCTTTCGAGATGCCTGTTGGTTTACGCTTCTAATGGAGACTACAGCAAAAAGAAGAGAATGAATATGTTGTAGTTGGCTGGTTGGTTTTATTTTAATTCGCACAATAAACGGGAACTAGGCCCAATGATATGAAGGCGAATGGATAAGCCGAATTTAGAAAAAAGGACAGGAATTAGAGAATTTGTAGTAACTGAGTTTCACACACCAGGCGATCACCAGACAAGAACTAGGAGTGACAACGGCATCTTCATCCTCTTCTTCTTCTTGTGGCCAGTAGCTCTGCACTTGGGCATCGAGCACTCTATTGGACAGCCTTGAACCTTTCTATATCTCTAACAGAGACTATGAAAAAGTACAGCATAAAAACAATCCCCATGTGCATGACTTGCTTGACTAAAGCATGGCGCCGCGGCACAGCATCACATTGACAAAGCAATGTCTATTATTGAGCTTGGCTCAGCCGTTAAGTTATGACGATGAAACCTGCAATAGGTGTGGTAACATTTTAGTGACATGAAGCCATGGATAGATTATGCCCGTCATGTGCTGCATTCCTTGCACCTCGCATCCTCACTCGCAATGTCACACGACGCCGGAGACTATCTCTAATAAGTTCATTCCAGCCACTACCACCCTGAGTCCTTTCTGACATGAACTGTAAACCAATTTCGCCAACCACATGTTTCTTTCAGCATTGTATTGGCAATTTTACAGAAAGATGAAGAGATCTCTTTGCAGTTACATGTAGGTTTTGGAACTCGGATACTGAGTTAGGATATCGTTTTCAAAATTATCTAGCAGAATATTTACAACTGTGCAGCATGAAACCGACAGGCGGTGAGTAGTTGTTTGAAGGACATTTACCACGAAGTACACACGCTAGGGTTTATCGGGTGTTTGCGGCCGTCGTGAGTTCCCTTCGGGAACGGACACGATAATTTACTTTTTTTTTTTTTACACTGGAGTGCCCTAATCCAGGCCCAAAGCCTCTGCTTGACACAGTGTCTATAAGTCTACACATTTTCTGCGCGTTTAAATTTCGGCCTTCCCGGGCTTAAGTACTGTAAACGCCATACTTATATTATGATATAACGAAGTGCTAACTCTAATGAGTTCTAATCTGTCGTTAAAATATAAATCGTTATACAGAAATCGATACATATACTGTCCTATTGAGTGTTGAGAATAAGTGAGAATCGTTACCTTTGGTACACGTAAACTAGTCAATTTTGGGAAATCGTTATAATATATGCGCCTCCTTAGAATAATGGCTTTTACTGTTTACAGTAACACATTTCGGTCTCATTAAAGTTTCAGCCGGTACTGCTGCTGGCAATACACACTGTCACATTGTAATTTGCAAAACAAAAATTTGAAAATGGCCAGCCAGCCGACTTGAAGTTTGGCAATAGATGTCAAGTTTTTGGCTCAAGTTGTGGCCTCTCTGTATTGTAAGGCGACACATATTATCCGGCACATATTACTTTTTGGCTATTTTCAGCCTGGCCATTTCCTTGTATTTTGGGTCAAGGTGTCCCTGAAAGCAAGGCAAATCAGCAGTACTAAGCCAAGAGTCAGGAGTTGCCTACGAAAACCCTGTCATGAAGATGTAGTCTCTGCACAGGTGCACCGCCCAGCCTACGGTCACGGACTGCAGGTCCGGGGTCTGCACAGCACAGGGGTCACATGCGTGCCTCGCATGATCGGATTTCATTGAGTGGCATTAGCACTGCATATGCCAACGGAGAGTCTGTTCATCCTCAGCTCGCGTTGATCCAATAATCGGGGAAAAGGCACAGCGAATTCATCCCAAACAACTTTCCTAACGTTTTTTTGTGCCCAGAACTTTGTACGAGTAAAGTGGTAGTGGGTACTGTGAAGGAAAGTGCACATTGCCATATTCGAGGTTGGAAATGTCAAAGGACAAGGAGTTTGCATTTGGCTAGGTTTTACAATACATTGACCACGTAAACCATGGTAAAATGATAGAAGCAGGCATTGGATCCGATTTGTGTAAAGTTTTGTCTAAAAAAACATTCAAAAAGTGGATTTTAAGGCAAAATTAAACTAAAATCGGGTTTCACGCCGTCGGAAATATTATAATCTATCTGAATAGATGGTGGTACTGTTGTTTCGCAGCAACAACATGCAATGGTGCTATAAGATCCAAACACACACACACACACACACACACACACACACACACACACACACACACACACACACACACACACACACACACACACACACACACACACACACACACACACACACACACACACACACACAAGCCACTGGGCCATCAGAAACTGAAACTACCACTAATGTGCTATGCTTGCCCCACACAATTGAGCGTGCATCCATTGTCGGGAATAGAATCAAGAGGAAGCTGCCATACTCAAAGAATCAGCAGCTGATAAAGCCAGTTCTCCGTCAGACATTTTCAAGGGAAACATGCCAAACCACGCGGGCATAAGGGCAGACATATACTATTTGAGCCAAACACCCCCCCCCCCCCCTCCACCGGTGTCATATACCACTACTTCGTACTTCATTTCCCGAGCAAAAACTCAGTTGGACATCTTCAAACTGCTCACACTGCCCTATGTTGGCAAAGCTGCAGCCAGCCAAACCACTCTGCTCAGCAGTGTTTCATCCAGTCACACCACAGCTGTACTTAGAACTAACTAATACTTGCAGTGCCAGCAGTAGGGTATTTCCGGAAATGGGAAATGTACGGCTGCACATATTTTCTCCCATGTGTGTGTGCCAAATTATTGACAGTGGGTCGGATACAGTCATACCCATACCCTGGGCTGGAGAAGAAATTTCCGTGATTCAGCATGTTCTAATCATGCACATATCAACCCAAAGTGTCCTCTTCTGCTAGTCTGTACAATCAGATCTCCAGCAGAACTATGGCAAAGTGGCCAATGGAAGACTAGTCGACTATACACACCGGCGTGGCTCTACCCAGTACCTCTCCTTGGCAAACCTCTTGGCGAGCACTTAGAGCGCCTCCACACACTGTGAGCCAAACATTGCCTTGGACTATGTCACCAGCAAACACAACCGTCTCTGTACCAGTCAGGGAAGCAGTGAAGACCTGCCACCTACCTTGACGCACACACTATGGGCCAAGCCTCCCTGTGCACTATTCCGCAGGTAGTGTGACTGAAATATCCAAACTTGACTTTCCAAACTGACAGTGTATTATTTCACTCTCACTCTCACTGGCCCTCTTACACAACACCTTACACAGCATTGTCCAAACACTGAAGGCACTGCTTAGGTAAGTAATGCCCGGCTTTCCCGGCTCAATACTACTCCAATGGTTGCTTTTTGGAGAAATTCTTGAAGCAATTACTACTGTGTATTGTGAAATACTAGTGAACTAGTGCATGAATTGCATGTGTGGCTGATAGACACTTATGGATGTGACAAAGTTTACAGTGCACGCCAGAAATCCCAACACTACATGATGTTTGAGAAGAATACTGTCACTCCTCTGTCCTGTAGCCTTGCTGTAGCCTGTACTGCTGTAGTCATGATCATAGTACAATCATGTAACTTACTAGCTTCCAGGGCACACAACCCTGGACAATGTTTTGATGGTATCCTGCATGGCTTTTGAGTGAAAAAAATATAATGTGTGGCATCAAATTCATCATGTGCACAGACACAGTACAGTATGATTGTGTTCATAGGTGTTTGTCCTCTCTCTGCATGTCCCACCACCAGACAGGAAGTCGTTTTGGTGACAGAAAGTGTCATTCTTCGGATTTCTGCCACACATTCCAGGACTTGCGGAATCACTTGCTCTACAAACTGCAAATCAGGTGCATGGTTCATTGCCGCACAAAACGTTCATGACCTTCAGTGTAACTAACGGTCCACGCAAGGAAGCCACGCGTGTGAGCAATCGGACGGGTGCTGCTGCCATACCTGCAGCGCGTTGATTTGAACACAGCCGGCCACACGAATACCTCCGGTCTCATCACCACGTGTGTGACTAACACTTTTCAAGCTCGCCTGTTAGATCTACATGTGTACGGATACCCTTGCATTGCAGAGAACTCTGACATTCGCTCGGGTTATCTGTGTATTGCCAATACTGTTGGTGCACAATTATTTCCAAGGAGGATGGAACTCGCACAGGAAACAGAAGAAGATCTCTGACATGTACAAACACACGAGCATGCAGTCGACCTGGAAGAAACGTAGACCGTTCCGCCGCACAAGATCAGTGAACTATTGCTTACCAGTGACGAAGAAGAACAGCGCGGCTACCAACTTCAATTTAGTTCCATCCTCGTTGACGGCCATGAGTGACAGTCCCAGCGAAACCAGAGCGATGATCAGCGATAGAATGGAGAACGCTCGCACGGCGTCAAGGTACTCTGTTCAAAAGAACACCGGACATCCGAAAACACGATATCGATATCAACACCGCAACACGAAATCTCCGGTTGATCCCGACGCACGCTAGACGCCGTTTTGGCTTTCTAACAACAGATTTTGAACACACCAGCACTGGGAATTCAAGCCTTACCTTCGTCTGGAATTTCGAAGCACACTCCATCATAGTCGCACCACTGCCACAGACCACGGTTGACGATATTCCTTGGTTCGTCCAGTGTAGTGTCCGTATTACGTTCATCCACATACCATCGACTGGTCGTCGTGCTCATAACGCCGAAGCCAAAGGCGGTGAGGAACGCCACTAGGGCGATGAACATGAGACCTGTACGCAGAGTCTCCATGTTGCTGCCGCTGAGCCTGTACTCAGTCCTGCACAGCGCTAGCAGCAAATCAGTGCGATCACAACGCTCGCCTTCAACAAGAAAGTGAGGTGGAAAAGTCCAACTCCTCTGCTATGCGGACTGTGGAGTGTGGATATGGAGCCACCGGAAATTCCCTCTCTACTCTCGTCTCGACTGGATCGAGTCGATCGTCTTCACTCGACGTCGTACATCTACACGCAAGCGAGTCCGGTCGTAGCTAGCTGGAGCTGAGTGGAGCTCTCTAGTACTCTACTCTACAACGCCAGGCCGTGCCACTGGCAGTACAGCGGAACAGCGGATACTAGTATGCTCAAGCCTCAAGACAAGACTCAAGTGATCTGTCACATGGTAATCACTATGGCGGTCGCCAATCACGATACAATACTCAATAGCAGGTCTGAGATGATAGATAGCAGTCCCGGCCTCCCACCCTGGGTAGATCTAGAACTACTGCTTTCGCTCTCAAACTCTGAGACCAAAATAAAAGAGTCAGGAATCTTGAAGCCCTTTCACGACTCCCGGGCCCTGCTCAAAACCATTGAGCAACCACTTCAAGTATTTCGAAGTGCAGGATGACACCTACTGCCGTACTGGTACAGTATTTCTTTGACAACATTTCATGTGTATTGTTCCTTTGAGCTAAATTTAATGAGTTTTTTTACTGCTCCTTATCCCCTTGTGCTACCTAGTACTAGTAAGTAGTAGTAGCCCTCCCAGGAGGCCTTCACTTCAGTTGGCAATTTTTTAAAGATTATTCATTACATTGACCAAAAAAGGTTCACATCTTCATGCACTTCAACTATATTTTGTTGCCACTAGACATAATGTACCACGATTGGCAAAGTATCAGTGTTGGCTGGGCCGGTGCGGGGTAACTGGTCCAGTTGATCATGCAGGACCCGAGACCAGATGGGGCTTTTGGCCTCGGATGTGTGTTTAGTGCCGAGTATAGTACATCATGTGTATCCGCTACATGTACATCAGCATGCACCCGTGGCCGGGTGGTTAGGCCTGTTGGCGGTGTTCAAACCCAGCAACTAAGTTACTTCAGAAAAAAGAAGAAAAGAATTAAATTGTGAACCTCCTTTGGGGCCCCTGGAAAAAGGCCAATCGCCTGTGGGAGACACGGAAGAAAAAGAAGATTGGATAAAGAGGAAAGGTTATGGTATGGTCGCACTAAAGAAGACAAACTGTTCTACGGGTCTAGTGTATGCACAACTATCGCTATACACTATACTTAAAAGTGCGTGTAGATGTGTAAAGGTATACTGGATGAAATCTCCCCCGATACTGTATTAGACACAATGAGTGCAGTTAGTGGACATCGGGTGCATGAGCAGATAGACAGTGAACGGCCTGGTGAGTTCTTGTAATAGGGAAAGGACGGGAAGGATTACAGCCAGCAGCAGAGTCAATGCACCGAACGCAGATGCCGTTCAAATGTTACGTATGAGACCGTGATGATTTTACGCATCACCAGAAGCGGCGGCTGCCTGCTTGACATGGGTGTAGTTCACCTGGGCCGGTTGGTCTTGCAGAACCGTCGCCACCAGAACGTAGATGATGGACACTATCGCGTACAAGCCCACTGCACTCCAGCCGAGCCCGAACGAATATCCCCAGTTGGAGTGTCTGAAATCTGCCACGTCGTCCATCACGACACCAGTGTACACGGCCATTGCGATGAGTTGAAACAGTGCTGTGAACGGCACACCCAAATCAAAAGCATACGCAGTAGATACAATAGAGGCCCTACGATTACATCATCAGTTGAGATGCAGCTTTGGCGAAGTCGCTGCACAGCACTGTACTTGCACGAGTGCTAGCGACTCATGCCGCATACTTAGCGCCTGTTAGAAAATCCGCTGACTCAGGCTGTATAGTTTAGCGCCCATTAGAAAATCCGCTCATTAAATCAATTGCATAAACTCTATCCATGTATGCTTATGATAGCTTCTGTGGTAGTGGCCCAAGACACTGCCGATCTGGTGCCAAGCAAAGGTGTGGGGAAATCCTTTCAAAACCAAAGTACTTGCATACAACTATGGTGTAATACAAGCTCGCTGTTCTAACACTTTCGTCAAAGTTCTCAAAAGCAAATAAAAAGCTGAATTTGTTTAGCATCACTGCCAATCCTGGCATTTCTGGTATGGACCTGCCATGTAGGGTCCGGCGGATTCTGCCGGCAGAAAAATTGGCAGAATTCGGTACTTTTCTGGTAAGTTTCATGCATGTTTGGTATGTGGATAAAGAAATGGAGCAGAATGCGAGGAATTGCCCGCCATAAGGTTTGTATGGTTCTGCCAATTTTACTGCTTTTCGAGCAGAATCCGCCACCTTTTCGAGCAGAATCCGCCACCTTTTCGAGCAGAATTCGCCGGTCCCTACTGCCATGTCTATGTGCCTGCTTTGCACCAATATGTTCAACCCCACTGAGAAACGGTGCGCTGGCAGAGATTCAGAGAGGTGGCCGCACTCCCTACTCGGCGCACAACGCTACACAAAGATTAGGTTCAATGTGTATGATGCCATTGTGGTGAGTCTGCGTTTTCCCTTATGTGCGCTATAGTAGATAACGCGGGTCAGCAGATGAACGTGTCTTGAGTGAATTGAACACGAGCCAAAGCACAAGAGTGCACCATGCTCTGTATAGCGTCAGGATTACGGCATGTGTCGCTGCTAAAGGTGTGTTCTTCACTCATACGGATGATGCTGAGTGCTTCCCGTATGCGACATAAAATGCAATGTGGGATTCCCAGAAGCACTTCCGTAATGCGATATGGTCAGGGCACTTCGAAAACCTTGAATTTTACTCCCTGTGTAGGAATATGCAAGCACTGCCATGATTGGATGATCACAGAAGATGAGCTTGGCTCAACTGTTGCGATGCGACGTGCGATCCGGGCATGCTTTGCAACAAAACGTGTATAGAAGTTAGTTATGCATGTACATCATAACATGAGTTGAGTTGCTTTGACAAAGTCGCAGCACAATGTGCTAACAATGTCATGCTCTATAGCAACTCACTCCGTATAATAATTGTGTACATAGCGCCCATAAGCGGTTCCGGAAATCCGCTGACTCATCATTATGACTTCTTTTGCATACTAGTAACTACTACTGTTGCTTCTATACAGTTTGAGAAAATCATCCCCCCCCCCCCCCCCCCCCGGCATGTTGCTTCCCTCAGCAGATCAGGTGTTCGCTCTTGCCAGTCTTGGGCATCATTAGAATAATTATGCACCACACTCCACAGCCACAGGCTCCACAGCCGCAGTGCACGGAAGATGATCAGTCATTGGCTTACCAGTGATGAAGACGGCCAGGGCCGCCGCCAACTTCAATTTAGTTCCATCCTCGTTGACGGCCAGCAGTGACAGGACCAACGAAACCAGAGCGGCGATCAGCGATAGAATGGAGAATCCTCGCACGGCGCGAAGGTAATCTGTGTAGGGGAACACCGGACATCCGAAAACAATATGCAATACAATCATGACACCGGGCCGAGCGCGCCACGACTTACTGTCACCATCATATCAGCACGAAATATTTATTAGATTGATGTCATGTCAAATACTGCTTGGAAAGCTAACGAAAGTTTCGGAATAGTCAGGAGTTTAGAATCAAGCCTTACTTACCTTCGTCTGGAATTTCGGCGCACACTCCATCGTAGTCGCACCACTGCCACAGACCACGGTTGACGATATTGTCGGGCGGCGATGCTGTAACATTCGTGTGCGTTTTGTCCACATACCAATCGCTGGTCGTGGTGCTCATAACGCAGAAGCCAAAGGCGGTGAGGAACGCCACTAGGGCAATGAACATGAGACCTGTGCGCAGATTCTCACCCATGTTGCTGCTTCCGATCTTCATGGTGACTCGCTGGCAGAGTGTCTTGCTGCACAGTTGTAGCTATATTTTTTGTTTGTGTTTTCCGTAGTAATGAACGAGACTCGTCTCAAAGTAACTAAGCCGTGACGGTGTGATTGCAACGCTCGCCTTCAACAGGAAGCGAGACTGAAAAAGCCGCTCTCCGGACTACGGATTAGGATGGTCCATACTGGAGTCTCCCTGGATCGCCACACTGCCACAAGCCGGACCGGAAGGACATCTCGCTGCGCTGCTTGGATTTACTTTTCAAGTGCAGGCCCGCTGCCAGTAAGGTACTGACTACTACTGTTGATCTTATCTGTCGGTCTAGTACATGACTGTACTGTAGTCTGTAGTGACTGTGTAGATCGTCTACAGTAGATCTACACTGTTCTTGATTTTGGTGGAAACTGGCCGCAGCTCGCAGTATGCAGGAGTATGACCAAGTACTCTTGCCAGTCTTGGTATGACAAGGCCTTACCATGCCAGAGTACGAGTGTGTCAGCGGTTGCCGGTTGGTCCTTTCTTGAAGCCTGACTTTGACTGACTCCTTGCAGAGAATACACTCCTCCTAGTCCTAGATCCTAGTGCCAGTGTACGTGTGGGCTCGAGCCTACGCGCTCGACTACATGACATTGTGATGAGTGTTGTCAATGGACGGTACCGTATGTTGCAACCCGGGATTCGGGAGTCCTTCACGACGCCCGGGCTGCAACAAAGCGCAAGTGGTCCGAGCTACTGAGAGTACTGAGTGAGAGTGAGACGCTGCTAAAAGTGCTACGGTGTAGTACTAGACTGTTACATTTTGCCGTTCACGCTAACTACTTCGACCGCGTCTAGTCGGCCAGTATCGTTTTTGTGTGTGTGTGTGTGTGTGTGTGTGTGTGTGTGTGTGTGTGTGTGTGTGTGTGTGTGTGTGTGTGTGTGTGTGTGTGTGTGTGTGTGTGTGTGTGTGTGTCAACGCGGCCGCCAGTGGGTGCAGCACATTACATCGGAGCAACTACACACACAGTGGGGTGACCCTACTCCACTGTCGTGCATGGTACAGCAGAGACGCTTGGAGTGGCTTGGGCACCTAGCTCGGCTTGATAACAATCGGTTACCCAAGCAGTTGCTCTTCGCTCATCTCCCACGAACCCGCCCGTTTTGCGGCCCCCGACATCGCTGGAAGGACGTTGTCCAGGCTGATCTGACTGTGGCCGGTGTGCACAATTGGTTCCAATCAGTCAACGATCGCGGAGAGTGGCGTGACATAGTGTCGGCAGCAGCGGGGGTGAAGGAGCCTGCCCCAAAGACGATTGTGTGCCACGTTTGCGGCCGCCTGTTTCGTCGGCGCGCCGACATGGCCCGGGCACAAGTGCACAGCAGTCCGACAGCTCCCCGTATCACAGTGTCCTGCCTGCAGTAGATGGCTCCGGAGCAGGGGTTAGGTGGGCTTGCAGTGCATAAGTGCCTTGGGAGTGACAACTGTGACGACCGACCGCCTTTTGATGCTCCTCCTGTTGCCAAGGTCCCGGTGTGTACTGCCTGCCAGCGCGCGTACTTTCAAGTCTACTGCTGGCCTCAAGCGCCATCGCTGTGGACCCCGCCCGAAGCGCCCTACAGTGACTGATCGCCAGCACTTTGAACATCATTGCCGAGTCTGTAATCAACGCCAGTTTCGGAGGCGACAGGACCTGGAGCGCCATTTGACGCACTGCCTACCTCTCCCCTAACCTCTCTGACAGTACCTCCCTTTGGGGAGCGGCGTGGCCATTTCTGGCAGCTGTCAATAGTAGTAGTAGTAGTAGTAGTAGTAGTAATGTGTGTGTGTGTGTGTGTGTGTGTGTGTGTGTGTGTGTGTGTGTGTGTTTTCAAGTGTGTCAAGACCTGGTTAGCATTTCAGTTTATGACACAATGATTGACTTGTGAAGTAACATTAGTTGGAATCTTTCATCTTACCGTTTAGTTACGTAAAAACCAGAGCTTTCTATCGTCGAAACGATACCAAACCGACGGTATTTAGGGGGTATGAGTCCCGTTTTTTTTGTTTTTGTTTTTGTTTTTGTTTTTTAATACACGCCGGACCGGACAGTATGAGTACTGTCGGATTTAGCGTGAACGGTAAAATGCTAAACATGCCTAGTCTACTGACTCTGTATCACGCTGCTGTCTGGTGTTCACGAGGTGTTTGTCGCGCTGGAAATGGAAACGAATGGTCTCTTTTACAAGTAGTTTGTATCCCGTGGTGAGGCCAAGGTACAAATTTACCATACGTGTGGTTACAAGAGCGAGCGGTACATGTACATGACAAGATGAATACACACGGGAACATCAATTTAAAATGCTGTTGAGAACAAGGCCTACTACATAATAGATAGGAACAAAGTGAGCAATTAAAATTTAATGGCAAGAACACCTCCTGCTTCTGCAACATCGAGCTTTGCAGAAACAGCAGGTGCTACATAGCAGGAGAAACAAACAGTGCTCCTTGCTCTACGCAAGCACATTTATTTATTTATTACACTTTACAGCATCTCATAGCACAGTGCAGTGAGAACACCGGCCAATACAAAGAGAGAGGGTGTTAGCCAACCACGGCAAGGAAGGGAGAAGGGGAGGAGAAGAAAAAAGGAACCGGCATGAATAAGCAGTGATTGCAACAAAATGAGAAACACAAAATCAAAGTCAAGGTGCGACAAGGCTCTTAAAAAGGCGGAGGGAAGAAAGGTCCTTAGCTTCTTGGGGAAGTGCCAGCCACGCAGAGTACGCAGTGAAAAAGGGAGAGTGAAGTAGAAAGGAGGACTTAGGTTTCGGAAGGGAAAGGGAGTTTCTCGTGCTACGGGAAGAGAACCAGTTGCAACAGTGGAGGTGAGGTGGACACAGATTGAGTTTGAGAGAATGGATAAGGGTGACAAGATGTGAATTACGTCTCTTAGACAAAGGGGTAGTGTCAGCAAGGGCATAAAGGGTGGAAGATGGGAGCATGCGGGGTTTTCGGAGGAGGATTTTGAGAACTTTTTTGTGGTGAATTTCGAGCTTGGCAGCACAGGTTGTGGAAATTCCAGCCCAAGCAGTATCTGCATAATCAAAAATGGGGCGTAGGTAAGCTGAGTAAAAGAGGAGTTTACAAGAGATTGGGAGATGGTAACAGTGAGAAGAGAGGATTCCTAAAGATGAACTTGATCGTTTACATATGTAATCGATGTGGGGTTCCCATGAAAGGTTAGAGTCAATGAAAATGCCAAGATGCTTATGGCTGGAGACTATGTCTATAGGCTGGGGGAAAGTGGGATGGAGGAGGGGCGGAACATCGGGCTGAGAAGGAAAGAGTATGATTTTAGTTTTAGACAGATTGGGCGATAACCGCCAAGACGACATCCAGGAAATTACTCTTTGAATCCCGTTAGCTAGGTTACTCATCAGGCCAGTGATGTTAGGAGATGCCCGTAGGAGCGTTGTCTCGTCTGCGAACAGTGATGTGCCCGGGGCAGCTGCGGGCAGACCATTGACGTATAAGATAAAAAGAAGGGGGCCGAGGATGGAACCCTGGGAAACTCCGGATAGTACTGTTGTGTCGGCTGAGGACGTCCCATGTACCGTGACGTACTGCGTTCGCCCAGTTAGGTAAGATGTCAGCCATAGCAGGGGATTGCCGTCTACAGTAAACGATCTACGAAGCTTGGCCAAAAGCCCCCGGTGCCAGACGATATCGAAGGCCTTGGCAAGATCGAAAAAACAGATCCCGACTAGATCTCCAGCATCCCGATGTCGACACACTAATTGCACCAGGCGCGTCAGCTGGATGGTGGTAGAATCGCCTCTGCGAAATCCGGACTGAGCTGAACTCAAACGTGACGAGACATGACAGTACAATTGGTCGTAGAAAACGCGCTCTCAGAGTTTGGAAACACAGGACAGTAGAGATATCGGACGGTAGTTTGATGCTTCGTGGTGGGACCCTTTCTTGTAGATCGGTATAACATTAGCTGTTTTCCATGCAGAGGGAAAACGACCAGTGCGGAATGGTAGGTTGAAAATCAGACATAAGGCCATTAAGGGGTATGCTATTGAGGGCGCAAGGGACTTTAATACCAGATTAGTGATGCCGTCTGGGCCTGGCGCCTTGTCAGACGGGAGCTTTCGAATGTAACGTCGGATGGCAGCAGTCGTAGTAAAGACAGATGTGAGGCGGCCAGCCTCACCCGACTCCTCGGCAATGGGGGGAATGGGTAGAGAAGGGTCATCAGGCACGGCCACTGAGGCGAACTGAGAGTTCAATGCAGTGGCTTTAGCTGAAGAGGTAGTAGCCTGCTGCGTAGAACTAATGGTGAGTGTCGGGATGTCACGAGATACTACCGGTATACATTATACTTCTTTACCTCAACAAAGCAAAGGCAAAAGGCAGTGATTATGCGCGATGACAGTGCTGTCACACTCTGTGGACTTGGCAGAGAGTAGGCAGGGGATGCGATTGTACTACAGGGCAGATACATGTAAGAGGCGCATTTGCTCATTCCTCTGCTTGTGGAGAACACTGCAGTGCAGGGGCAAAAGAAGCATGCTCAACATGCTGGATGCGCTGCTCGTAGGTCTACACCCGCTTCTTCTCCTTATTATCATGCTTTACTTGACATAGCAGGCAGCAAGTGGTTTGGACCGATTCGAAGACGCATATTAAACACACTGTACAAGGTGCCCTCCTATCCCCAAATGTCACCCGCTGCCACGTCAAACCGAGCCTGGCCATCATCCGCGATGGTGGTGCAATACCGGAGGTGCGGCTCACGTGGCAGGGATTGCAGATGAGGTTCAATACACACCTGCTGCCTTGTTCAAGTTGTTGTGTTACCATGGTTACCGGGGCTACTTGCTTGAGCAGCCTAGCGATAATGTTGCGGACCGTCTCATTGTGCCTGATGGTGGGACTTAGGTTTGAGCGCACCTACTTCGACATTCGCGTCTTCAATCCTTTTGCCCCCACATAGGCCCACAAACACCAAGCAATCCCTCCAGGCCACATTCCGCAGCAGGAGAAGCGGCAACGGTATGAGGAGCGCATCCTTGAGGTAGGTCGAGCATGATTCCTTCACCCCAGTGGTACTGTCATCCTCTGGAGGCTTTGGCAAGGCGGGTAGTGTGCTGTATTCGTGGTATTGGCGGATAGCCTCGATGCTGGCGGAGAAGAGGAACGAACCATACAGCGTGGTGCTAAGCTTCGTTCGGTGCCGCCTCGCGTATGCGCTACTGCGCTCTGCAATCCCTACAAGT